GTTATGTGACTCTTCAATGTTTAGGAGATCTGCATTCCTGAAGTGTTTTTGTATATTGAAGCCAGTTAAATGGTCAATATTTAGCTCATTACCTTGCTCCATACAAACTTTACAAAGCTAATGAATAGACTTATCAATAATTGTTTACCCAAAAATCCCTAAGTGGTAAACACCACCTTGGCCTGTTGGCCACTATTGAAGGCAATAAGTGCCCTTTTTAGCCATCCATTATGATCCGTATACTGTTATTGTTAGTAGGGTAATTGCAACATAAAAAATAACACCTCTTAAAGACAAAAAAGCTGAAAAAATAAAAAAAAATCAAATAAATAAAAAAATCATGAAAAAATGAAAAAAATCATTGATTTTTGATTTTTTTGATTTCTTTAAAAAAATATCAAAAAATCGCCAAGTCTGGAGCCTAGATGCAATATAAAAGGCTCCTGAATTAATCTTGAAATGGGGTAAAAAGGGACACTTGAAATAAAACTCAATTTCAAACATTTGAAGCATGCAGAGTGTACTCATCTATTACTAACAGTACTCTGAAGTCCTCCTCTTTCATTGTAGATGATGTAGATGTAAAATAAATGACATTTTCTGAGATTTTTACTTGTTTTTCCTTTATTGATATGATATTACCATATTCATTAATTACCGTATTATTAATGTGATATTACTGTATCCATGGACATGCCATTTAGCATTAACAAGAACCTTGTCCACTGCAAGCTTCATATCAGCAGCCATGTAGCATTTCTTCTGTATCTGTGAGCTTACAGGATGGTTTGTAATTTTGCACAATTTTAATCAAGTCTACTGATTTCACTATAACAAAAAAGATTGTGAAAAACATACCTGAAACAGAAAATGTTTTATTGACAACCATCATAGGTTTTGAAGATATAAATCATAGTTTAGGTCAATTACTTTTCATTCTATGATGCCCGGTGCACAATTCTATATATAGCATTCTATGTAGAATTTTGTGATGACCGATGATGCACTAATTTTTTGATGAGTGAATTTTTTTGCCAAGCAAGGTAAATGTAATCAAAATTCTTTGTTGTTAATCAATTTTTTTGTTAAATGGAGCCTTTGCTAACTTAGGTTCTACTGTAAATTCATTTTTAAGGGTGTCCCTAATTACCCCGTGGGGTTGTCCCTTTTTACCCTGTCGCTCGGAAATGGCTGTTAGAGATAGTAAATGTTATATTTCTTGACTAGCTTTATACATGATAGATAGTATAAATGTTGAAGTTTACGCCACTATTTTTAGTTTTGCAATATTTTTATTAGTTTAGCTGCTATAACATTTCTACGAAATGTGGGACGTGCATCCCTATTTACCCCGTCCGTCCCTTTTTACCCCATTTGATGGTATATGTGGATTATTTTTGAGATTGGTAGAATAAAGTAGACATCCATGTAGGGAAGGTGAAACATAAAAAAACTGAAAGCAAACTGAAACATGAAAAAAATACCTGTAAGTGGTAACTGGTAACAACAAGTAACAACTAACACGTTTACACTAGTAAAAGGCTGAGGTTGACAACATTACACCGAAATCTTTCATACAGTTTTATTCTGTAATTTATATTATGTATGTATCATGCTGGTTTTTAAATAATATTTAATACTATTAAGTAACATCTAAAGGCTTTATCTATAAATGTAGCGGTAGCGCTGTAGCGTCAAAACCTCGTATCGCTACTTGAATATGTAGCGGGCACTACTGCTACAATTGCTTAAATGTAGCGCTGCTACCACTACTGAGGCCGCTACAGGTAGCTTGCTACTGTCCACCTCTGACTACCACACATAAATAAAATAGCCAATGACTTGTTTGTTGATGTATATTGAAAAATGAAGGAGAAGGTGCAATTCACAGAAAATGGAAAAAAATATAACTCAGTACTCACTGCAGTGAGTGACAGAAAGCACATTTTCTCGTCGACGAAAGCTTGAGATCACGGATGGGCAGACAGACAGACGGACATTGCGAGCACAATAGTGCATTTTTCCATAAATGAGAAAATGCGCTAAAAAGGGGATTTTTCTTGCAAATTGAATGGCATATCTCTCAATGCTGTAGCTTGAAAATCAGAGATTTCAAGTTTTTAACAGCACCAAAAAACAAATTGGTGATCATTGAAGGTATAGGCTTTACTTGTGCTTCAATGGCTCTTGTGTTTGAGCAAATGAACACATAAACATGGCTTTTGGCTCTTTGAATGCACAATTCTTGGACTTTTAAAATGAGTATAAGAACTGGAAAAGCCCAAGTTTTCAATTTTTGACCAACATGCTTCCCTTAATAAGGATATTTGTGGATTTGTTAAATCTTTGAGTTCTGACATAAATGTATACATGACCTTGTTGTTCTCTAGGTTTATTTGGTGATGAACCAGTTTGACTTCTGATTTTGTGTCTCGTGTACCTTTTTGATTTTACTGGAAGTTTTACTTAATCTTCTTTTTTTTTGTGTACACAATTGGAAACCATGTAAATGTGGTTCAACAATCAATGAATTTGATGAACTATTTGAATGCTGCTAGGAATGCTAGATTTCAGTCAATTTGAATTTTTTATGGCAGGCTTTTTTTTCATCAAACTTGTCTTATTGGAAAGCTATGTTCAAATTTTTGCCAGTTTCAAATGAATCAAATCAAATATATGTGTTAGATGGGAGCTGAAAATGTTAACTAGATGGATTTGTGAGTTTATCGTCTAGCTCATCATGTAACATTTCTCCTATACTGGAAAAATGTCATCATTTTGAAGATTAGCTACTGAGTTTTGATTTGGCAAAAATGTTGCTCCAGCCCTCAAATATGGGATGTAATCAATAGTTTCCCCCTTTATTTTTCGGGTTCTTATGTTACTCTTGAAAAAACGTGTAAAAAGTAATGCCTAAAGCAGTGCTTTTGGCGAAAACTCTCATATACTAAATTGAATTTCCGAGGTTCTGTCCTAATCTCATTATTTGCTTTGCAATTATTTTTGTTGATAATTGAACAATCGTTTTCCAGAAAACAGCCACTGCAGTAGCCCACTGCAAGCGAGGTCATGGTCTCATCAAGGTCAATGGCCGCCCTCTGGAACACATCCAGCCCAAGACTTTGCAGTTCAAGCTGCAGGAGCCAATTCTTCTGCTCGGAAAGGTCAGTCTTTGTTATTAAATTATGTTCTGTACTGTTAACACTGAGCTAGAGAAACTGTTGAATCGCTTCACGCAAGTTTGTCTCCATGTGATTATAGGTGATTTCCTATTTTACCGGTTCATAAGCTGTTCTATATTCGCTTATAAATGCGCTACTGAGCTGTGGAACATAATAATCCAGCTCCGATGTCTATCTTTGGAATGAGAAGCGTACCTGGTGATCAGGAAAATCTTCACCATTTACTCATATATAATGTGACTGAGTAGAGCTACACCATTACAGTCCTTCGAAATTGCTGAGCTATTAATTGATGTTTATCTGCAGAACCGTTTCTCTGGCGTGGACATGAAGGTTCGCGTCAAGGGAGGTGGTCAGACATCGCAAATTTATGCCATCAGACAAGCCATTGCCAAGGCACTTGTGGCCTATTACCAAAAATGTAAGTTTAAATTCATATAACCTTTATATTCATATTTGGTTAAATTTCTATGCTGCTGAACACACTTTGTGGTAATTTGCTCGCTTCAGATTCAACAAATTACGTTTTGAGATAGGCAATTTTTTCTTCCTTTAAAAAAACTAACTCAAACTTGGGTTGGAAACTCCCGAACTGTCGTTAATTCTTGTTATGCAAGTTATTTGAATGAACTAATATTTCACAGACGTCGATGAGGCCTCTAAAACCGAGATCAAGAGCATCCTCGTGAACTACGACAGATCCCTGCTGGTGGCAGATCCCAGGAGGAAGGAGCCCAAGAAGTTCGGAGGCCCCGGCGCTCGTGCCAGGTTCCAGAAGTCCTACCGTTAAGTTCGAGAGTGGGGACTTGTCAGGTGCAATAAATTGTGTCTGGCTCATCATCTTTATTTCATCCCGTTGCCGTAGAACTGATTTTGTGTTAAAACTACCATCAACCAATCGGTAATCATTCTTTGGTGAAGTTAATTTTGTCCTAGCTGTTAGCTCAACCGTAGGAACTGTTTTTTTTTTAGTTGGATAGGAACCAAGTTACAAGCGTTCTCTGTTGATAAGAAAGAGGAGAAAATATCCTGTCGCTTTATGGCTTGGCATCAAATTTGTTTCCAGGGTAGATATGAAAGTGTGCAATATTCGTCACATCAGTTCTTGGAAAGATCGATTAGTGTTCAGGGCTTGAAAAGAGATCGAGTCAAGTTCAAACAATAATGGCAAGCTGTGTCGGCCCTGCTTGACTTTCAGCATGCGGGATTATTTTAACGAGACTTTTCATAAAGTTTAGTTGGTATATCACGGCATGAGGGCTATACGAATTCTTGAATGACCAAAATAATGCAACATACATCCTATTCAAAGCTGCCCATGAAAAAACTCTACGATTCTTGATCACATATTTTAGACGAAAATGTGATTCAACCCTCTACCGCCTCGAGTAACCGAAGCATTACTGTCACTAGCCCACTTCCCAAAAGGGATGCGTTCTAGTGAGCGCAAAATGACTTGCACTGATGGTTGCCGCCACCTACGACAACTTTGAAATGTTCTCTGTTGCGCGTAAACGTCCTCTGGTTGTTTCACTTAATACTACCACCGGAACAATCGTAACCTTTAATGAATAATGAATAGGTTACGTAAATTCAAGTTGAAAGCTATGTTCCCAGACATACAGTGGTAGAGGGTTAAGATAAAGAAAAACTTGTCAGTTACGCTATTTACGTAAGTCGTTACGATGCATAGAGCGTGGAAGTGAGGAATTAAACGTCACAGTAAGTATAGCCTAGTCAATAGCGCAGCAGTGACCAATTGCTGCTCATACATGGGCTTAAATTCCAAATAAAGCGACGGAGGACTTATTAGAATAGAGAATTCACAGCTCGATTCAACTCATAACAGCACATTATTTTACGCAATGAATTTTTTCTGCTGATGGATTTTTTACGCCAAAAAGCATATCTTAGATTTGTTTTCTTTGCATTGCAACCGAAATCGGAATTTTACGTGGAAGGCAACGCGTGTTTCTCGGCTTTTGGTACGTCGGTTGATTTGGGTTCGTGAGTTTTCTTGTGCCTCTCAAGATTGTATCGCTGAGATGACCTGAAGTTGCAGTGTGGGCAACTGAAGGGTTTCTCACCGGTGTGTGTTCTCGCATGCCGCCGGAGATCACTGCCGAAGGCGAATTCTTTGCCACAATATTGGCAAGCTAGAGCATACTGAGTGGAGTATGCGGGGCCCGTGGTGACGCTCCTGCTGGTGGCTAGGACGGGAACATTGCTGCTGCTGGGCCGGCTTGGCGCGGCGTTGCTCAGGGAGATGAGGTCGCCTAGGGGTACACTGTCGAATATGGGCTTACTCACGACCGGGATGTATGGGGTGCAAGTCTTCAGTGCAACGCTCGTCTTAGGTCGGATGGTTTTGAGGTCAGCAAGTAAGGGCCTGCTGTTGCTTTCTGACGTCATCTGCAGTCACATGACAATCTTGGTTATATTGACATGAAATTGTTTATTATATTGATATGGAATTGTTGATTGAGATATAACACTCCTATGAATCTTGTTCATGATTAACTTTAAAACAAATGTGTGAGACTGAATGAAACTACACACAGACTTCTTAAAAATAATGGACAATATCGAACTACCGCTCATCTAGATTAGCTTTATTGTGGCTACATGTAACTTATAATTATTGGGCATGTACTTATATTCAATCAAGGCAAACAGCAATTTCTGTTTCTACTCTTTCTCGATCTTCAAAAAATGTGAGTAAGTTAGGAAGTGGTGTATAAATTGCTCACACGCATATACGATACGCTAAAAATAGCTTTAGTATAGGAAGATAGGTAACCTAAAAATTAATCAAACCTGGAGCACAGGACGCCCAGTAGACGGCTCGAGCTGTAGGAGACAAGTTTCAGGTTCAGGTAGAGGAGGTTTATCTTTGTCGTCAGGCTGCAGGTCATCGCAACCCAATGCACTCTGTCAACATATGAATAGCTTTGATTATGCCATGCTGGCCATCCAGCTTTGATTATGCCATGCTGGCCTGTCACAGTTTCTTAACCACACGGCCAACTTGTCGATTATGAACAGAATTTTCACTACTTGTTTGTGGTTTCAAAACCAAAACTAACTGGTTTAATTCTGGTGATCTTAAGTACATTAAAACCACGCTAAAATAAGTTGAGATGCCTCCAGCATTGACATTGCATTTATTAAATAACTCGGCCATATTGAGCTCAAACATTAAGTTATCCAAGAGGTGATGCAAGATCGGGCTAATTTTTAGAACGACTGCAGGGATATGATTATAGCATATCATAATGATGTTGGCGCTGAAGAATAAGCCTGATGTGGCCAGTCGCCGATTCTTGTACTTTCAAAACCGACGATAGCTGGAAATAGCTAATCGACTTCCAGCAGTTTCGATATCGTGCTAGGTATTTCAAGCTTGAACATATACATATTTCTCCACAGCTTAATATAGTCAGTTCATGAAGGCGTTCATACTCGGAGCGTAAACGGTTTAATCAAGAAGGCTGTTCCACATGTTTGTGACTCGAAGCGAGAAAAGGTGTTGTCGTGTGGATGAGTTGCATTGAATATTTTTTTAGTTATAGCCGTGGGACCTTCTGGGAGGACCTTATTTTTCAAGGACCTTCTGGGACCTTGTATAAACCATGAGTATACTTCTTACTTCAATGAGGTCACCATGCAGACGTCGATAAGACGATAACTGAGGCTTGGAAGCTTCATAATCTTAAATCATTCTTCGTAAAACTTGCCTTTCAAATCTGGAATTATCCTTGATGCACGACTTTGAACACTCTCTTATACATTATATTATTTTTCAAGTTTTGGTGACTACACGGCGTTTCCGAACTCAAGGTTCGGGCACACGACAGCAACAAACAACTTCATCGTTTTTTGCATCTAGGAACTTGTAAGAGCGTCTGATAAAATAAATGCCTAGAAAATTTCAGCTCCTTGTCCACATAAACTCCCAAACCTTTTTCCGCGCTAGACTTTTCAATCATTACTCTCTCATTTCAACCATGTCTTCTCATACTGTTCTTGCTGTTTATTGTTATTTTTCGAGGTGAAATAATTTACACTTGTCAATATTGAAACGCTGCTTCCACGTATCACGGTATCAGCCCAGTTAAACTATCAAGATCATCAATTGTACTTTATTTGACGCTTCCTTCACTGTATTATAAACTTTTGCGTCATCGGCATACATGGAGCACACGCTGGACACTACTTCTGGCAGATCATTTATGAAAGCAACGAACTAAACAGGCCCAATAACGCTACCATTTGGCACACCACTGCGCACTGTTACCCAGTCTGATACGGTTTCGTTAATACTGACACGTTGTCGTCTACCTACTAGAAAATCTCTGATCTATTGAAGTACATTTCCCTCTATTCACAAAGACTTCACTTCAAGTCTTCACACAACAGCCGTTCATGCGGAACACTGTCAATGCTTTGGCAAAATCGAGGTACACTGCATCTACTGGCTCCCTTTCGTCCAGCAGGCGAGTCCAATCGTTCAACGTAGACAAGAGGTTAGTGGAGCAGGATCTGATCTACCCGAGATAAAGCAATGTTGACAGTCTGATAGGGCATTTTTAATAGTTAAGTAGTCAATTATCCTATCCCTTACAACAGATTCCATTACCTGACAAACAACACTTGTCAGACTGACAGGGCGACGATAGTTACCGGTTCAACTTTTTTTAACAATGGTGTCACTTGAGCTTCTATCCAATCGACCGGCAAAGTCCTTTCGGTCAAGGTTTATGAAAGAAAAATGTCAAAGTGCCGGCCAGCTGGACGATTGCTAATTCTTTGAGCAATCTAGGGTGGAAGCCGTCTGGTCCACATACGGAGCTCAAAAATAGAGTACATAGTTAAATTGAGGACAATTTCAACGTAATATACAAATGATTTTGGGACTATCTAATTCTTTTATCATAAGTTGCTCAGAAACTTTGTGCAACCAGTGAGATTATTCAGCCACATGTCAAATTATCTCACCAGATAATGCACTGCATCTTCTCTGTCGATGAGCGCCTCACTGATGATCTCTGCCAACCCCATGGCAGACTCCTGTCGAGAAGAAGACGTGCAGTCGTCCTCAGTGTCACTCAGTCCCAGCACCTGCAATGGCAAGTGATCGTAGTGCACAAAGTGGTAGAATATTATTCACAAAAAATATTGAACTATTATGATTTTCTCTACAAGTATATAGTTGTAAGTTTAGTCCTGGATTTTCTAAAGTACCGAGATATTGTATTAAATCAACTTGATATATATGAAGAGCATCACATGGGACACGGATATTGTTGGAATTTAATTTTTACCTCACATTGATCATCAGATGCTGACTTTTGGTTTTTTGTTGTCAAAAGGTTCTGACGCTCAGACAATGTAGCTTCAGGCTCCTCTTTGATGTTCACACAAACTTGAGGCTGAAATGAGAGCACATGTTCAAACTTCTTGTGATCAAATCCCTATTGCAATTTTTTTTAGTCGAGCAGGTCATACATGTTGCATATTGATGTAAGAAGGGTTTTATTGAGTAACAACAGATAGTTTCATACTAGTGGAAGAATAAAGTGTCTCACCATAGTTTCAAAACTTGCTTCTTCATACAGCTCACCAATGTCAGTATTGAGTGAGCAATCATCAGATGCCATATCAGAATCCTTATTGCCATTTTCTGAGTGATTTAATTTTTTCTTCTTCAACTTAACATTCAACTCAATATTTTGGTCATGATCATATATGATTTCAGTAGAAGATTCCACAGCAGGTAGCAATGCAGTGGATTCACTTATAGGTAGTTTTCTTTTCACAGATTGTGTATCTTCTTTGTTATTACTTGATGGTTTTAAAATAGAGCAAGAAACAGGTTCATTATAAGCCTGGCTGTGTTGAGAACTTGTTGGATCAGGATTGTTCTGTGCAGGAAAATCTTTAACTTGTGATTTGATAACATTCGGTGAGAGAACATTACAGGAAGGGTCTTCAAGAACACACTCTGCCAAAGCACTGTTTTCTGAAGTCACCAAGCCTTTTATTCCAAGTGACTCAGAGGCTTGCAAGAAAGATGGGAGCTTATCTTGCCTTATGTTGACCTCACCCAAGTACATGTAGCTTAGTAGAGCCTCAAAGTCATAGTTAGTTATGTCCTTGAGAACAATAACTGGTTGAGGGCAGTTAGTTGCATGAAGAATTGAAGAAAAATAGTCACTGCATGATGAGAGCACCAGTTTGTGCACAGCATACAACTTGCCCGAGCATGCCACGGATACATCACTGAAGTAACTCTGCAGGAAAATAAAAATTGCTTAGATAATAAATTATAGCTATATATATGTATATATAATATATGCAATAATTTGTTGTCTTCAAATGCAGTAGAATGTAAATTAATTAATAAAAAATGTGTCATGAAGAACAGTATAACTATACAAAATCTCTTGCTATTAGTCTTTTTAATTGGAAATAAAAGACTTTGACAGAAAATATTGAAGCATTCAGAGCACAAAGCTTACCAATACCATCATTATGATTATAATAAAGAAACAATTACCATGCATGATGCAACTCGTGCAAGATGCATTTCCAATACCACGACTTCATGCACCATAGATAGTTCCAAATCCAAAACTGCCAAGTGGTAGGTAAGTAATTTTGTTTTGAGTATCAGCATAACATTTTGAAAATTTCTACATTCAATAACTATTCAGCTCTAACTTTAGGCCAACATTTTAATGCTGTACATATCGAGAAATTATTTGAAATTGATAGGATACATCATTATCTTCATATTTTTGTCAATTTCAATAGAAGATGCAGATAAAAAAGATTATGCTCAATGTTCTTAAAAGATGGTGATGATATTTACCAATTAATTATTATAGAGGCTAGTCAAGTCTATTAGAGAAGTCTCACCTGATTTCTAACATTTGCAAGCAGGCTTTGGAACGCAATTAAATGATTATTCCATCGCAAAGAAAGAATTTCATCAGACTGTTGAGAAGATGTTTCAACATCAACATCACTGAATGAAAATGTTCCTGCATTAGTCATTTTTTTAATCATAAATTTTCTTATTATTTAGAAACCACTTCCAAGTTACTTAGTAGAAGGCGAAAGATTCGTGTGTTCTGCAAAGTTGACGGAGTACGTTGCAAGGCAAGGTTTATTGTTGTTGTTGGTGGACTCTATACATGGCCGTCTATAATCCGCATTCCAAATCCGGAATATTTTAAAAATCCGTTTCTCAGAGACAGGTAGGAACATGGTTGAACTAGTATAAGGTTGACCCATCAGAAGCCCATTTTTGAGGATGTAGTTCGTTGTTCGCGTGTGACGTCACTGATCTCAGTGACGTCACGGGCATTAACCAATCACCAAAATGCGATAAAACCGTGCACAGTAGCACTTCATCCAGTCCATTATAGGAATGACGGGTTTGTTTACGTTTGAAGAGAGTGTAGGCCTACTTGGCGTTCATAGACATAGAAAAGGCATATGATAGAGTTGACAGAAAATTGTTGTGCCAGATGAAGAGAGTGAAATTGTTTGGTCTAAGAGTATGTGCGCAAGGAATTGAAAGAAAGGGCAGACTGAGATTGTACAAGATCAAAGAGATGCCAAGGTATGAAGTATGATGGATGTAGACGTGGAGACTTAATGTTCTGTGTGAGAGCAAATGCGTTGAGTGTGAATGCACGGACATACAGCCTTACAGGGGGAATGATAGAAGAGAAGATATTTGTTTTATGTGTGACAGAGGTGAGAGGGAAACTGTGGAACATCTGATGATGGAGTGTGATGCATATGAGCAGGAGAGACTGGATCACTGGAAATGATGATCATGGTGCCAAATGCCAATCCATAGGTTAGCTATTCAAAAGAACCTGTTCTTATGTCATTTTGAACCGATCAACGCTTCTTTACGGACCGATTGTAAAACACACCTTCACCGGCAAAAGCTTTCACACTTCTGAAGAAAGGTGAGCTGACAGCTACACTGGCCGTGGGGTGTGGGTGGACCTAATTTGAATTTGAATGCATTCATTGATTTGAAATCCTATAGACTATAATAGACATAGTATACAAGTCATAGAGCCTAAATTTTTAATATCTATAAAAAAATGTATGTTTCTGCATGTATTATAATGCTGTTAACATTAGCAAACTTTGAGTTATCTCTGATGCAAGAAATACTTGCTTAAATCATTTTATTTTCAATATAAGCGACTGGATGCACGATGCAACAATCGATTCGCAAGAACCAACATAGCTCTGACAGCAGTAATTTCGAATTTTCGATCGACGTTAATTTCTAAATTAAAATGTATTTGGCCATTATTTCTTGCATCAGAGATACTGTCAAGTATTTTAATGCTAGCAGCATCAAAATCCACACAGAAATGTGAAATTTTAATAGGTTTTACACTGAAATTTACACTCCTATTCCAAAGAACTGAGACCAATTTCAAATCAAAAATGACTAAATTGAATCCATCGCCCTTTCTGGCATATTCTCTCACAGCTGATTGCAGTTACAGTGCATTTTTTTAGCTTAAGTTGCCAATACGTATTTAATGTAGACATAGTCTTCCGTTGGTACAAAATTTACAAAATAACCTTGAATTATTGATTGCTAATTTCTTATATTACGTAAATGTTTATGATTCAAATTAATCATAGAATATTAGAAGTTGTATCTCCAAAATTTCATGTTGAATTAAAATTATTCATAGAAGGTTCACTTACTGATGCCAGCGCTAGCAGCGGCAGGCAAATGAACTACTTTATTATTTAGTATCTTGATAAATAATGCATTTTTTTATGTTGATGTTCTTGGTGTACCACGTGTTCTTATGTGTGACGTCACCGCAGGCATATGTAAACAAAGCCTGACAGATGGGAACTGTTTTCGATTGAAATCGATGGTTATTTGTGAATAATATTTTCGATTGTGATATTATAACATATTTCCAATGGTGAAATAATTTTGATTGTGATATTGACACTTGCCAGTAGTGTCAACATTTGAACATCGAAATTCTAACATAATTAATTACGAGGTAAAAGGACTGAGCAGAGCTGAGATCATGGCTGAAGCTTCTTAACCGATGTCATAATTGTCATTGGCATTTTTTACGTCATTGATATCATTCTGGAACCAACGTAAGTAACTAAGGAATTTCCCAGTTCAAATATTTATTGATATATTTATATCAATTTCAAAACTTTACGTATTTCTAAAGGGAGTTGTGATGAGACCATGGGAGTCGAACCTTTGAGTTTAGACCATTGCAACTTGCAACAGGGGCCCAAGGGCCAAGGGCATGGGGCCTTGGCCCTTGCGAAGGGTTAAGACCGCGAACCGCCGCACGGCGGTGGACCGACATAAGTACCTCTCTTCATAGACTTCCACTATGATGAGAGTGATACTGGATGAGAGGAATGAGGGTGATGGTGTAATATATGAGCGAACAGGAGACGAATGGATTGCAATGATTGTGGGACTGTTAATGGGGGTAACTGCTGCTATGATTGAGAGTGGAAAGCAATTTTTGGAGGGTGCTTAGAGGGTGAGGGAGAGGAGGAGGTTGGCTAGAGTGGAGGCTGGGAGGGTGTAAGAAAAAAGCAATAATAATAATAAAATTGGAATAACCAAACCATAATAATATAATGTACCGTCAACCGGGGCTACTCGGGACAGGCCTATGATACGGCGTAAAACTGTTGTAGTAGCGAAACTAATTGGAATATTGCAAAACTAAAAATAGTGGCATAAACGTAACTATTTTTCCTATCTACCTAGTAAAAAGGAAGTTGAAAAATACTACATTTACTTGCTTTGAAAAATTCCTGAAAAAATGGTGAAAAACTATGTTCTGTAAAGTTGCAACTGCTAAGGTATGTAGCAAAAAAATATTCGCCGTATTAAAAAATTTTACTTACATAAAAGTTGCACCCAGGTGTCGGCTTGAAAACGTAATTGACAGAATTTGCCTATCTAATTCCAAAAATAAATGACAGCCATTTCCGCACGGTGGGGCTACTCGGGACACCCCCCCGGGGCTATTCGGGACACCCCCAAAAATGCATTAAGGGTAGAACCTCAGTTAGCAAAGGCTTCAACTACGAAAAAAATTGATTAAAAACAAATAATATTGATCACATTTTCCTTGCTCAGCGAAAAAATTTCACTTATCGAAAAATTAGTGCATCATCAGTCATCTTAAAATTGTGCATAGCATGTCATGTATAGAATTGTGCACCAGGCATTATAGAATGAAAAGTAATTGACCTAAACTATGATTTATTTCTCCAAAAGATAGGCTGGTTGTCACTAAAACATTCCTTTCAGGAAGTTAATGATCACGTGAAGTTAAATACCAGGTGAAGTTAATGATCACGGGAAGTTAATGAACACTTGAAGTTAATAATCAGGGGAAGTTAATGATCACGTGAAGTTAATGATCACGCGAAGTTAATGATCACGTGAAGTTAATGATCACGTGAAGTTAATGATCACACGAAGTTAATGATCACGCTAAGTTAATGATCACGTGAAGTTAATGATCACGTGAAGTTAATGATCACAGGAAGTTAATGATCACCGGAAGTTAATGATCACGTAATGCAAATAGTCACTCAGGGCCTATTCCTAAGAGGCCCCATAGGCCATAGCTAATATAATTATCAAACACACAGTGCAATAATTGACAAATAGCGATAATAAACCAATGAATTTTCCCTTGAACTTTTCTTCCCCGTGATTACATCTCACCCTTAACGCAAACTTTCACATCTTTTCTAGCCTCTTCTCTTTAATGTTGCTTCCACCTGGCTTGGTCTCCCTTTCTTCTTCTTACTAACAAATGAAAATGTGATGTGTGGCTGAATGCTGATGGCCATTGGCCCATTGCAAAGGCCTGACCCTGAAATTCTTTTTCTCAGAGTCACCACGCCCCAAAACCTAATCCAAAATCCTGCTTTCCAATATGCTATCTGTACTGGTCAATTTAATATCCCTCTAGAATTCCACAATGATTAGCCTCACTAAACTATACTGTGAAATAAATGGGATATAGCAATAACAAACCAAATGAATTTCCTCTTGAATTTCTCTTCCTCTTGTTTTCATCTCACTCTCAACACAAACTTTCACACCCCTGTGACCCCTCTAGCCGTCTAGCCTATCCTTTAATGTCACTTCTAAGCATAGTGGCAAAGCAGAGAGTTTTTTTAGACTCTCCTTCAAGTTCATTTTTGAGTCCTATAAGTAGACCAGTAAAGTATCATGGATACCAGCATTATCTTACATAAGAAATTGGTTTAAGTCTTGAGTAAATGAGGAAATTAAAAATGAATTGATTCTTAAAAAATCTCTGGTTTGTCACTATGCTTCTAAGTTCTACGTTTCTACCTGGCTTGGCATGGTCTCCCTTTTATCCTTCCTAGTACTAACAAAACGTCAAAATGAATATGTGATGTGTGGCTGATGCCTGATGGCCATTGCAAAGGCCTGACTGGAATGTCCTTTTTCAGAGTCACCATTGACACCACATCCCATTCCCAAATCCAAGTCTTGCTGGAGCTGGAGTCTGGACCTTATAAGAGGTTCTAACCCACAGAGGCTCAGAGCTAGTAGGTATACATCTGGGCCCTGGCTCTACTGCACTTCTCTTCATTCAAGTTATGAAAACAATCAGTCATCAGGCACTATTTTCCCTGGCTGAAGATTTTTAGTGAGTTTAGTTTAGTTTTTCAATAAAACAAATAATATACTATATGTATAACAGTATAAGATAATCCTTGGTGGCATACTAAATGCCTTTGAAAGACCATGTACGTACCTATGTAATTGAGGAGGCTGGAGAGCGGTGGCCAAAATAGGAGCAGGCTCCCCCAAAGGGAGTGGGACTGGGATGGTCTGTATGAGTGCATTACAGCTCTCCAGTACCCAAATAACTGCCATTTCTTTAACAGTTAGCAATCCTGGAGCCTTTGAGGGCCCTAAAATTGCACATCATCACTCCCCACCCATCTTCAAGTGTGGAGCACTTGGGCCATCCTGGTGGATATTGATGACCAACCACTTCCTGCAATTCCATCATGTATAATCTATCCTGAGCCTCTCTATACATTCATTTGTGATTACAGAATACAGTTAATAGTTCACTTTTTTCTTTGAAACAGAATTCCAGTGTGTGTAAACACATTTAAAATTTTTAGTTGTTAAAACTCAAAACAACCTGCATTATATACATACAAGCCTGGATCTATAGAAATGACTCCTACTGTTAACTTGTCTTCTAGCTGCGCAGACTGACCGTGTGACCTGTATGGCCAGTGCTGTCTTGGCATCTTGAGTCACCAGGGGGCAGAAAGTGGGTAAATATCTGAAGATATTTGGTGACACATCAGCAGCAAAATTCATGACTTTTGAAGACCTTGCCAACACATTTGGATTCAAATTATTGCATTGTAGATATTTGCAAATCTTTGGTGACTCTAACTGCAGAACAGGAGGTACAACAGTGCCACTAGAAATTTTAAAAATTATGCAGCCACTGGTCCAGTGGCATCATTATTTTCAAAATTTCCAGTTTCTGGTTGTCCAATGAGGTCACAATTTGCAAAGCATGTTCCACAATTTATTAATTCTGGTTGCAATGCAATTGTCTACTGCAATATCTGGGGTGTTAGAGATACACTCATCAAAGTTGGTTTTGTAAGAATTTTTATTTAACTTATGTTTGCAAATTGCAATGCATCTTGAACACTGCCAGTGACACAGCAACACGTCTTGGGTACTGTTGGCAATGTTTTTGAGTTACAAAGGCCAAAATTTGTGCCGCATTCACCAAACTTTGCACCCTGGTCATGAGAGTGCTTGAGACGATTTTTAGTGGTTCTCCACCTGATTCTCTCCTGCCATTTCTTGCAAAAATTTGCTCTCTCCAAAAGAGTGCAATCCTTCTTCTCAAAAATGGACTTGTACTCAGCCTATTCTCCTAGTTTTCTTTCTTCTTCTTGCAAACCTGTGCAGTTCAGTCAACAGAGGTCTGCTGGTGTTGGCAGCAGTGCCCTTAGAGCATTTCTTTTTGAACAATGTAATATCAACCAGGTGCTGAGTGCCTTGCCTCAACAGTCTGCAATAAATACAGTATCAGTCACTGGGTTCTTTGTTTCAGATGCCAGACTTTTGGGAACTCCAAATCACACAATGTTGGACTAATTTCTCTGTCAAGTAATTTGTGAGAGCTTTTGCCAGCAACTTTTGATAAATCAACACTCTGAGGCTTTTTCTTCCATTTTCTCAGCATTTTTCACCTGAGCTTTCACTTCAGTCAACTCATTGCATGGCAAACTCAATTTTTATCACAATAAGAGCACCCTCTCACTCAAGGACTTTACAACATCATTCAACAATTTTGACTCCTTGCCATGCTCTTCCACTTTTTGTAGCACAAAGAGTTGGTTTTTCTCAGTCACAACAAAACCAATGAATTAATTCAGTTTTCTGGAGAAATGAGTGCTCCTCAGTGCTTAATTTTGTACAGCTCATAAGAATGAATTCTTTGCAGTTTTCACAGGTGACCATCTGATCAACATTGCTCACTGAGATCTCTCTACAGTACTTGCAAACTTTCATCTCTAGCTGAACCGATTTGTTTGGCCTTTCTCTTGTAGAACTAGAGGTTTTTTTGAACGTTATTTAGTTAAATAAGTTGACAAAAAAACCCATCGATCTGGCTAATTTAACCCATTCCTGTTGCCTTTTCCCAATAAGAAAGACCATAATTTTTACCCACAATTTCATAAAATTTTTGCCCAATATTCCAAATTTGGTGTTTCTGAGTTGCTTTTAACTTGAAAAGAGCAAGTTCTGAGTTGTGCTTTTTGCTGGCTGGTATTCTTTCTTGTAACTTCTCTGTCCCTGTGTGAAAGAAAATGTGTGTATTTGTGCAAGCAGTCAATTAGTCCATGACCCTCACCCGCAAAAGGCATTTTATTATAATTATCTGCTTGCTAATGAAATCTTGTTGCTTCAAATTTACTTATTTTTTTATAAGTTTGGAATCTTGCTGCTTTATCATCATGCACTTTTATCAACAATCATATAAGTATGATTCATTTTGTGAGAATCTTGCAACTACAAAATTGGCAGGAAGGCTTAGTTACGCCTCATAAAGTAGATAGTATAGGTTATTACACATGTATGCAAAGATGGACATTTTTCTGTGATTCTTATAAGTTTTAGCCTTCTTCTCACACTTTCATCAAATTTAATAAAAAAAATCACTAGAAATACTGAATCGAAGTATTTATATATGCATATTCATGGCAGTGGTGGGGGAGAAACTGCAAATCTTGATTTTAGTTTATTTTGCATTTCAACTACCTATCTGCCATCTCTTTAAGATGTGTCTCATGATTTATTTATGATCTTTCTTTTAGCCATTTCAGACCTCCAGCTACTTATGAGTGATGAGTTTTCAATTTATGAAATCTTGTAGAGAAACCACACCATCACTAGTAGTTGTTGTTAGTGCTTGTTACCACACATGTTTTTACTCAAACATTCATGAGAGGAATGCAGCTTTTTTGTTAATCTTTTCAAAAAATATTGTTGCATATGCATATTCATAGCAGTGGTGGGGAAGAAACTGCAAATCTTGATTTAAGTTCTGATACGTATGTTTTACAAGACTACAAGTATGCTTTCTTGTGTTACATATAGAGCTAGTTTGAGTTTTCCTGAAATATGAACTCAATGGTGTAGTGCCATTAAAACTGATCATAGATGTTAGATTATAAAAAAAAAGTTTGCTACTTGAAATCCATTATTGTATAATTTTTGTTCTGTCTTGCAGAATCTAGCAAAAACACTAACTTTATTTGATTTCTTTCCACTTCCTTCTTGCATAATAAATCATGTTTCCTGGTGAGGCCCCTCTGGTAAATATTGAGAACCAAAATATGAAACTTGGGCCCAAATTGAAGAATATCCTGCACCCTTCTAATGGTTAGTATTATCATTCTTTTTCATGAATATTTACTTCATTGATATCACTCAACACATAGTCCAGTAAGGTTATGTACAATATATATTAAAAAAATTTCTTTCGTTGAAAAATATGGTTTGGATCTGAATAAAGAATATTAAACCACTGAAATTTTCAACTTCCTCATTTCCAGTTCCAGCTGTTGATACCAAGAGGCATGTTTGTAAATCTGTTGATTTGCAGAAGCCACAAATTTGGAGCACTAAGATACTTCAACACAAGCTCCAGGAGCAGAAAAAGCAAGTTCCTGATATCTCATTATTGGTCCAACAGAAAGTATCATCTCCTTCCACATCAAACCGAATAAAAAAGAAGGTAAACTCGCAAAAAAATTCTATTTTTTTTTGTGTGTGTGTACCTTGTACATTTTTGAGTGAATATTTTATCTATTGTTGTAAACATTCAGTTCGATTTTTCAGAGTGTCCTCCTCCTAAACCATCCTGAGGAAGAACGTGTCTTCAGGCCTGTTAGTGATGGCTTACCTACTGAGGAAGACGTGCGGGCAACACTGCAGGCCCAATTAAATCTCAAGTAATATATTTGTCTCACTTTATGACTAACATTCATCAATTATATTGAGGCTGACATACTTTCCTGCATTATTATTTAGTCCAATGTTTAGTTTTTAAAACGTCCAATTTAATGTGTTATTTGTAGCATGGTAATGAACAACAATCAACAATAACAAAATTATTTATCTAACTAAGTGAAGTGAGCTGCAGGTATCCCTCCTGCAACTTAAATTTCCAGTTTTTCCTAACAAAAGGTTTTGAACTTTTTTGGTAACTGCACCCTTTTTTCCAGCAGTGATCAAAAATGTAGAGTGCCAAGCCAGCCAAAAGAGTCAGGTCCCTGCATTAGTGACTGGTACAACCCCGCTGACTACATATACAGTATACCGTGCACGTCTCTGTACGAAACGCACACTCCTACCTCTTCAGTGGCACCTACATGCGTCTCGGCTTCTGCAATTTCCGAGGAATTGAATGCTATTTCGATGAATCTTTGATTCAAATTAGCAATATTCTTGAACTTGGTTAGTTATATTCACGTTAAAATGACGCACATTTGAAACCAAATGTTTGTTACTAGAATAGTCCAGATCTGAAACTCATTTCCATTGATGTTTCTTCCAAGTCTAATGCGCATGTCTCGCATGAAAATGCCGGCGTGACGTAGGTAGAAAACCTCTGATATAGATGATTCAGGCTTGAAAAATCAAGTTCACAGCACTTGAGAGCATTTTATGTTGGCACAATCGGTTATTAGTAAAGCTATAAAACTTATGTCTAACTAAAAAATTGCACTTGTTTAGGAGCATGTACAAGTAGAAGCCTTATTCCTCTGGCAAGTGTAGCTGCAGCAACTTCACTTTCCCTGTGGAGTGAAGACTTCGTAGTCAACGACGGAGAAATTGTAATCTGTCATGAGCGTGATGGGCACCGCCGTATCTCCTCGCTCGTAAGAGTGAGGCAAGTTTGAATAGCTTTCAAGATTTTGATGGCAGTTCGATGAAATGAAGAGATCCGCTCCAGCACCGAAAATTGGTCCACAGCTGCCGGAATGGGAAAATTAAATTATTAAGCTCAATATTCTTAACTTTTAATTTTTCAATCTCAACTGCTGAAATAGGCATTGACAACAGAAATTGATACCTACTGTAATTGTTCAACAAGAGAACCAAACTTAGATTCTTGAATACCAACACATTTTTGTGACAAATCAAGGTTTCCATATTCTGTTTTTTTATTTTTTTTTGTCATAAATATTCATGTACAAATCTCTTACTCGGGGTGGTAGCAAATCGCAAACATCTTCTTAATCACAGGAAATTTTGTTGGAGGAGCGTCTTGAGGGTTCACCAGGGAGAATAGAAAGGATTTGTCAGAAGGCACATATCGTCCTTTGATGTTGGTCTTGCCCCAGGCTATGTCACTGTAGCCTCCACAGACTTCGCCTTGCTGGCCCTAGAAGGTACAAATAAATTATAGGAATGTAACTAACATGAATTTCTTGAAAGTGGTAATAATTGTGCGTCATCTAGCAAAAAATCGCTGTCTTTTCTAATCCACTTAATAGAAAAATCAAATGCAAATCAATGATGTACTGTTGACTAACCGTACATTTGTTTTATTTTTACTGTACGAGCATTTTCGACCTTAGGAATAGGTAAAGCAAAGGTCTTGCTGACCTTCAGTAAAACTATATGAATTTTAATATCACATCGCGCATTAAACATTCCAAACGATAAAATGATTTATTTATCCAAACTGAGAAAGCTGCAAGACTGTTTGCTCAGAATCACATAGAAAGAGCTGGAATGTACATAATGCCTAGCCGTAACGATCAACTTCAATATTGGTCAGACTGCCGTTTGCGTTAATTTTTATAAAAGCTGTTGATTTTTACGCATCTTCTCAGCTTGAACACTCTTCGCGACGAGTCTGCTCAACGCGAGTACGTAAAACGTTGGCGCAGTGCCGTCACAGTGTCTGCTCACCGTGACTATGACAAACGTTGGCGCAGTGTCTGCTCATCGTCACTATGACAAACGTTGGCGCAGTGTCTGCTCATCGTCACTATGACAAACGTTGGCGCAGTGTCTGCTCACCGTGACTATGACAAACGTTGGCGCAGTGTCTGCTCACCGTGACTATGACAAACGTTGGCGCAGTGTCTGCTCACCGTCACTATGACAAACGTTGGCGCAGTGTCTGCTCACCGTGACTATGACAAACGTTGGCGCAGTACCGTCGCAGTGTCTGTGAAATGCTTCGGCCGAGTAGCCGTGAGTGGAGGCTCGGTACACGAGTCGCCACATTTGTTTGCTGGAGCCATACCAACTGTTCAGCAGACGCTGCATACTGGTAAGCTCCTGGAATTATCAATTAATGACGAGTGTAATGATGGTCGTGATATACCTAATGCAGTTGTAAAACGAATCGTATTAAAGCACATTAGGCCTCCGTTTGTGGAAGCACAATGATTTCCCGAGGAACTTTGCTGTGGTTTGAAAAATGAGGTTGGATGAAAAATATATGCTCACTGGGACGTTTTTAAAAAATTTGTTATACAACATTGGCTGACTCACTCTTTTGATGGTAGTGGAACATGGGTTATTCACTTACATTTACTAGTATCTGAGATCCCGCAAAAAATTTCAGCGAGACGCGCGGTCTGAGTCGCTTATCGTCGCTGGCTGAGCTGCTGTCACTGAACTTGGGTGGCAGAGCGGCGAACCTGTACCGCTCCAGCGACAGCTCCATGGGCACCGCCCCTGTAGGCTCTACCTCCTCCGCGAACACTTGTGAGTCTTCAAGTATACAGGGCGACATGAATGTAATGAGTCATCAGATGTGGGGGTTTAGAATGAGGGAAGCAACAGCTGTAAATGTCTGCAGCTTAAATTTCGGCATTCAGGGTAATGGGCTACCAGGAAATATTCGAACGTGTTTGGTCAGTGAAATGACATTGGTGTACCTGTTGCTCCATATTAAATCAATTTTACATTTAATTCGCTCTATCCGGTATCAATGAGGTCATTTAAATATAAGAACAATTGTGTGGAATCTTAAATATGGAAAATTCATTATAATTATAAGTTTAACAACACTCCAATGTAAATTTATTCAAGACATTATAGGTTATAATGAATTTGTGATAAATAATATTTAAAAATAAATTATGGATACAATTAATTGATAATAGAAATATGTGTACCGATGAGCAGCAGTCTGACGTGGTTAATGACTCCCTGCAGTTGGTGGCCAACCCTGACGCGTTCCTCCTCCGTCCAGTGCAGCGTGGGCTGCGTCACACCGGCGCTCGCCTTCGCCCAGCGCAGCACCGCGCGCCACACGTCCTCCTCCTCCAACGCCAGCTGCGCCAATGACAACGTCAATTTGCGGCGTTTTTTCATTGATTAGATTATAAGTTGTGTGGTTTACTCGAGAACTAAATGAAAAACATATGGGAAGCCAAGTGCTTAAGGTTGCCGAAATAGGAGCGAGTTGGGGGTTCGAAATCCGAAGCTACATGTGAAAATTCTGGATGAAATCGATAATTTGGCCGAGTGGATAAAGCACAGCAAGATTGGAGTAGTGATTTTCAGGTTCAAAACCTCAAAACCTTAAAATTTTGCGTTGTCTAGAAAATAGCCCAATTCTCAACGTCATAATCATTTTCATTTATTTATAACACGCATAATCAAAATAAAGATGAAAAAATTCACAAGAAGTTAGTCTGCACAATATTTTTCGATAAATATTTTCATAAATTTGCCTGGCATTTTCTTTGCTTCTAAATTCTTGATGAACTGATTCAAATCTTGTAATGAGAAGTTGAGAACAAACATTTCTTCACGTGGTGTTGGGACGAGACTCACGTTGTCTGATGAGATCAGAGTAATGACGACATCTTTGCTGAGATTGAGGAAGGCAGACGTGTGGAGACATTCTGACGCATTGTCTCCTACGTACGCAATGCAGCGTTCAACAAACTGCTGGCTGCCTTTACTGCCTGCAAGGGAAGTGTTGAGGGAATTATGCTTTTATTTCAACTTAACCTTGGATATATTCATAAAGTTATGGACAGCTACTTCACGATAAGTTTTTGATGCATTTGCTATTCGCCTATGACAANGTTATGAACAGCTACTTCAAGATAAGTTTTTGATGCATTTGTTATTCGCCTATGACAATATCAATCAAGCTAAGGGAGTCCTAGTGGAATAAGAGTTAATTTGTGTTATTTCCCAGTTCAATAAGTTTCAGGACGTAATTTTTGCTTCTTAAAATCAATAGGTTATTTAATTATAATTCTTTGGTTTGAATGTGTGACATGACAATACTTTGAGCTGTACAGATACCGTAGTTGTAATGCAGAGATCGCATATCTCAATGCCCACCTCCCGTGCGTTGGTGCATGGCCAGAGCGGCAGCAAGGAAGGTGCAGGCGTTGTGTGGGGTGATGGTGGCGGTGAGGTGGTCATGGCAGCTCTGGCACAACTCCTCCAGTCCTAAGTCATGTGCCACGCCATACACTTCGAACACTGAGTGGTCGGTCACCAGAACCTGTATACAGGATTGATGTCGTCATATATGAATAAAAATTTTATAATTGTGACACTATTTCGGTAATTACCGTATACAATAATAAAAGGAAAAATATTGATAAGTATTAATAGAGAAGTCCGTTTTTGTCAGTTTGCTGATGTTTTTAATGTGAGGAAGGAATTATGATCAGCTGGATTATATTTAACGAAAGCAAAATTGACTCAATACTAAACTACTATTAGAGTTGAGAAAGAAAAGAACCAGGGAATGATTATATTTATAAAACAGCAGTTGACTCATTTTCCTTTGAGTAACCAATTTAAATGCAAGCTCGTTTCTGTAGAGTGTAGACCGTGTAAAGGACGTTTACAGTGTGGATACCTTATTCTACAGTGTATTACATTCACATTGTATATGTTTAACATCCACACTGACCTTGCCAGTGTAGATGTATGAGAGCACCACTCTGAAGACAGGAGGCTGGTAGTGAGGCAGTCTGATGGTGGTGTGAGGCTTGCCAGGCGTCACACTGCTGCCCGGTATGGCGCACGTGTCGCCCCCCGTTCCACATGTCTCCATGAACCGCTTGCATCTGCTTATCAAAATTGAACCGTGAATAGACGCTACAAGTTTAATCAGAATTGTTTTCTCGAATAATTTCCGGTAGTAAATTATACATTATTTTTTATAGCATCTAAGTAAGATATGTAAAAATAACTATTAAAATACCTACACTACCAAGTTAAGGAAACATTTTCATCAACCTTAGGAATTTTAATGCAACAAAGAAGCGTGAGCCAGAATTTCAACAATTGATCACATTTGACAAATTATTGTATAGTTCAATAAAGGCTATGGCAACCAAGCCACTCCTGACCTGCAGTACTTCTTGTTGTATAGACAATTGATTAAATTGAATGAACAGAATAATATGTGACTCACGGACTTGTGAGATGAATAGCTGTAAATTACAGGTTTTCAATTCTAAAGTACATATATGAAATGAAATATAATAAGAAAAACAATTCAGGTCAGAAGGCAGAACAAAATATTACAATTAAGTCAAACCTGAGCTTTAGAATGAGTTTGTGAGCCGTCAGCTTGACTTCCTCCCTGCCAATGATGAACACCAGGTCAGCAGAATCAGAGTCTTCCTGCAGTCTTGTGAGGTCCTCCAGCAGGCATGGCACCCCAGCATGTGACTTGTCAGGGTAGTGGTGAGCGGAGGCTGCCACTCGGGTCCCCATTTTAGACTGGCTCAGTCCAGCTGCACAGGAAATTCATTTTCATAAATAAGATGAGACTCTTCATGAAACTAACATGAAAATAATCAAATTCTTTATTTTCTTACATTTTCTATCTGCTGAAATGAAACAATTAAGCTAAAAAAATAATACAAGTAAATACACAGGGAATTAAAACTTCCCCAAAAGTTAGGTATACTTTGGCTGAGTTTGGCATGTTTTTTTTTTTCAAAAGATCAAGATGAAACCAAAGGTGAAGGTACACATGGTGTAATCAAATTTAATGAAGGAGAAAAGCATATTACAAGATTCATCTAATGTAATTTGTAAGTATATACAAAAATGTATCTAAGCAATAAGACCAAAATACAGCACTGAATAACACAATCTAGATTCTAGCCTATCACTTTGTAAACTTCATGACGTATTAGTTCCACTAAAATCCCAAAGATCTGCGATATTATTAATTATTACTTATATAACAACATTAATTGAGTACACACGTCGTTCACATAACACAACCATACATAGGTATACAGATTACAGAGTGATATACACTTCATATTTCCACAAACACAAAGCACAAACTACCTAGACAAAATATTCATTGTTATTTGAGAGAAACTGAATTTTTTTTTTAGAGAAACTGTAATTTTGGCTCTGAGCATACAAGTTTCTTTTTCGACGTTGCAAGAAAACTCTTACTCATTGAATTATTTCAAAAATAATTTTTGTACCATGAGGCATGAAAGTCAATGTTATTCCAACAAGAGTAGTGTCATTTTAGTACTGTCAGAATTCTCACGACTTGTGTATTTTCCCTTTAATATACTGGATATAATTTTTGTTATTTTATTATTGAATCTCATCAACTGTCGAGACTCGGCATACGGACATTCTGATGGAAATGGTACCTAACTACTACTAGTACTACGTCGCTACGTCCGAGCTTCGAGGCTCGAAGTGACCCGCGGCGACTGCAACGCTCATGTTCTCAACTACCGATCCGTGTCCAAAATCATAGGTTGCTCGAAAACTAATTTTAATGTTGGGTTTAATTTTTACGATTTTGCTTCGTATGAACATATAGAAACAATTGTTTTTTGTCTTTAATATCAGACGAAACTTGGTTTGGGGTGTAAAATATAATGCGAACAACGATATTACAGGGAACGCAGCCGTGCACCACCAAATTTGGGGAGCGCAGCAGTAGGCCACAAATTTAACTCTTAAATAAGCCGTGGAACCAACGCCCAGGCTCGCCATGCATTACCTTTACTCAGCCTTAGAGCTAGAGGAGCGCAGCCGTTGACCACCAATTTTGTGCACCAAGAAGCCCTGAATCGAACGCCTTGGATCTCTCCGGACCTACACCAATCAGCCGTGCACCACTCGGCTTTGTCCTCTTCCGGCCTTGACCACCACGTGCCGCGCACCACCAGGCCGCGGATCGAATATGATTTCAAGGCATCGTTAAATTACGTAATTTTACGTTCACCGCATCTGAAGTTAGGTTTCAGATAGCATAGTTCTGTTCCAAAATTTATCGTCCTTTGACAAGTGGCCGTTCGACCGAGGGCTGATTCGACCCACGGCCTAGAAACGGACGGCTTGAAGTGTTGAAGGCTACGTTTCGGAAGGCAGGAATCATGATGGTCCATTACATCCAGGGCAGTGGTGGTCATCGGCAGGCGACCCAGAGCTAGAAGCCGGAGACTACGCTTGAACTCCGAAATCCAGACAAGCGACACACTGCCGAAAGATAATAGCGCAGTTCCTCATTCGGCATTACCTACTCCGGCCTAACCTTTTCTTGCCTAACCTATTCACGCTGTCGCGGCTCACAACCTTCTTGCAGCCAATAACTGGCTCTACCAGCACACCTGGACCGCCTTTCTAAATTCCTACAGCCAATGAGGTTAGGTTTGGTCAGCTCAGGTTTGTTTCAGAACAGAACAGAACACAGAACACAGACCACAGAACACAGAACACAGAACACAGAACACAAAACACAGAACACAGAACACAGAACACAGAGGACAGAGGACAGAGGCCAGAGGACAGAGGACAGAGGACAGAGAACAGAGGACAGAGGACAGAGTACAGAGGACAGAGGACAGAGGACAGAGGACAGAGGACAGAGGACAGAGGACAGAGGACAGAGGACAGAGAACAGAGAACAGAGAACAGAGAACAGAGAACAGAGAACAGAGAACAGAGAACAGAGAACAGAGAAGAGAGAAGAGAAGAGAAGAGAATAGAATAGAATGGAGGTGTCGGCATTGAAGAAATAGGCCCATGGCCTGTTGCCGATTCTTGAACTTTTCGTGACTTGATTCACAAGGGATCCGGCCTTTGGAACCCGATCTTTCCATAACTGATGATTTTATAGCTGCCAGGTGGAGAAATGGTGGATAAATCTTTATTGGGTGGAGAAATGCGGAAACTTGTGTATGTTAGGCCTGAAGAGGTTAGGCTGGAAGAGGTTTGGCCAGATGCAATATGATCATGCTAACCTTTAGCAAGCTAATTTTGTGGCTGTGGACATCAGGCGCTATTCCTCTGAGCACTCGACTTTATAGGCTGTTATGCCCTCTAGCGGGGTGGATAGCTAGAGGTCAGCATAGCCCAAGTCCACAGTGCGATTCATATACCTTCCTGAGCGTAACGCAGCCCGGCATCTCCTAGGCTTTCGACACAAAGCCCCCCACCACAACAGCGCCGTTCAGTCACAGGCACTGGTTCACAGCGCACAACTGATCGGAGAGCAACAGGCTACTCCTAACGTAACATTACCTAACCTAACCTAACCTAACCTTTGACTTTAGAGTGTTAGCTTCCACCTCCGGTACTTCAGATTTGCGTATTTTAGAATGATTGTACATTTTTAAACTTAGGGCCAGTTTAAATTCAGTTGTAAGATCATAATAATAAATAATAATAGCAATTTCAGCGTTTATTAGGCCCATCGTCGATTCTTAACATCACAGAACATTTGTCCAAGTCCACTTTTCAGCGTGGATTGGAATTAATTAATGTATTGTCAATTTCTGATTAAGACCTGAAGGTTCAAGGGTCTTCTATTTGTTGGCTATAACAGGAGTGAAAGTCTAGTAATACAGAACAGTTTACTTGCTAAAAACTTTACAATAGGCACTATGAGGATACAATCTCAGAGAGGGAAAGAATCGGCCTGCTCGACAGAGAAGCTTATCGAGCGCCGGAGCGTAGGAGTTAGCTGTGGACGCTCGGAGGTCTCTCCTTCAACTAACTCGTGGGCTTTAAAGAGCTATCGCGGTCCACCGCGTAGAATCGCAAGCTACGTATGACAAGACGTACGATCCTTTAAAGCGTCACTGAGGGTGACGTATAATATATAATTAGTCGCTGAAGGCGACCGTCAAGCAATACCTGACACATTCACAGCTTGTCGCGGTATCGAACTCGCAACTCACTGCTACAATTCTGCTATGCTTAATCGCCCGGCCTCCTCGCCGATTCTGACCAGAAACTGGCGTACAGAGCTGGGATCGAACCCGCGCCTCTCTGCGCCAATCCTGGTACTCTGAACTTAAACCACTGGGCCACCCTGCCCTTCCACTGGGCCACCCTGCCCTCATAACTCATATCCCCTAGAAATTGTGCTAGCTAGGTTTTTTATGCCCTATTACATGTAAATTCGGTTTTTAATTGTGTACTGTGCTTTCAATTGTATATTTTTGTGACTTTCTATGTAAATTCTAGATTCTACGAACTGACGATAGAGCTGGACTCCGAAACGTTTTCTATAGAGATATGAATTTTTGTGGACTATTCTTCGCTTTTAGGTTTTGAGTGGACTCAAAAATATAAAAATCAGATGACGCAAAGACTAAATGAGTTAATTTATTTATTGATTCAAGTCGAAGTTATTCCTTTGTTGGAGGTTATTAATTTTTTTTGTGTTGATCTCACATGAGCACCAGGATCCTGCGTTGTTTCTTGTGACTGAATCCCAAGCTAATTGAAAATTCAGTAGACAGTAAATCGGTGTATGCGTGTAGTGAACAAGTGTGTCAACTGTCAACCACAAATATAATAATGTATTAATGTTATTTTTGACCTTTATTTAATTTTTTTAGAGTGTCTAAATTTAAAATTCCATCATCATGCAGAATGACGATGTAAGTAACATTTTTTATTAATTCAAAATTGTAATGAGCCTCAACAGTCAACAAGCCTCTAACCTCTTTAATATGATTTTGACCTTTAAAATAAAGTTTGAAATTTTTCAGTAAGGTTTTGTGGCTAATTTGTGCTAACAATAATCTATTTATTACTTAAATTTTATCCATGACTATTTGTAATACAACTAATAACTTAGAGTCTAAAAAACTCTCTGCTTTGCCACTATGTTTGCCACTATGCCATGGTTTTATGGATTTGCCAGCCATATTACATTTCTTTGAGCCGTGATTCTATTTCACCAAGCCGTGAATTCCATATCTTGGCCATGAAAAGCCATTTACGAGGCGCAAATTTATTTACAAAGTCCATGCACGGGTTACCCA